GAGCTGGAGACTGGAATTCAAGTATGCATGGTTTATTTATTTTTTATTTTTTATTTTTTTTCCATGCAGGACATGCCCTCTTTAATACCCATCACCAGGCTAACCCATCCTCCCACCCCCTCCCCTCTAGAACCCTCAGTTTGTTTCTCAGAGTCCATCGTCTCTCATGGTTCATCTCTCCCTCCGATTTCCCCCCCTTCATACTTCCCCTCCTGCTATCTTCTTCTCCTCCTGCTATCTTCTTCTTCTTCTTCTTCTTCTTCTTCTTCTTCTTCTTCTTCTTCTTCTTCTTCTTCTTCTCTTAACTGATATGAGGAATTCTTAATCTCAGGAAACAAACTGAGGGTTGCTGGAGTGGTGGGGGATGGGAGGGATGGGGTGGCTGGGTGATAGACATTGGGGAGGGTATGTGCTATGGTGAGCGCTGTGAATTGTGCAAGACTGTTGAATCACAGATCTGTACCTCTGAAACAAATAATGCATGGTTTATTTAAAGAGCATTCTCAGAAGAAAGGGAAAAGGATAGGGCAGAGGAAGGAGCAAATCAAAGATGTAGCTGTCAGCTGGAGCCTTGCTTCATCCTTAACTCCCAAGAAGCTCTGGAGCATGACTTGCTGCAGAGTTAGTCATACTTTGAGGAAAAAGACAGCATCTTACACTCTGCTTTTATTATTAATTGCCATTGGGCCCACTCACAGGTGACAGTATGGGGAGGTTGTGGAGGTCAGGGGATGAGGTAAGAAGAGCCGGACGCATAAACTCCCAGGGAGGCAGCTCCTATTGGGCCAAGTGTGATTCTAGGAAAGGGATAGCTGGGACAAGTCAGATGATATCACTGGCACTGGGGCATAGTTATGCCTCATAAAGAGGGTCCGGCCAGAGTGACCACACAGTCCAATACAAAAGGAAAGATGGATTTTATGTCATTTTTGATATAGGCAATGAAAGAGAAGGAGACAAATAATGACTTCATAATATCTATTCTGAAAGTTCAATATATTGGTGGTGCACAAGTTAGTAACAGAGAAGTAAAAATGAAAAAAGAATCTCACAAGGAAGACTCTGAGTTTCGTTCAGAGCATCCTGAGATACTACTGGGCTATCTGGTCAGCAGTTTCTGTAGGCATCTGAGATACATAGCAAGATTTAAAACCACCATAATGATAATAATTAAGGCCATGCTCAAGGATGATTCTGAAACAAGGAGTGTTAAGGCAAAAATTTAGAGGTCTGAGAAAAAACCTAGGGTAATGAGAGGCTCAAGAAGTAAGAGTAGAGAGAGAAGTCAATGAATCAGAGGTAAGCTGAGATAAGAAAGTCTATACTACCTTAGCTAAAAAGGGAATTTTAAGAAGAGGAGGAGGTCAGCAATGTCAAACACCACCAATAAATTGGAGTAGGGCTAGAAAAGCTTAATAGATTTGGAAGGAAATAAATTTGTGATGACCTCAGTGAGAGATTTTCACAGAATGGCTGCAAGCATTCACACATTTATGGGTTTTCTTCTCTTGCTTCCTTTGCATTAATAGAATTTATATATGTGCATGTAAAGATATCACTTTCTTTTTTTTTTTTAGATTTTTTTTTTTAATTTATTTATCTGAGAGAGAGAATGGGAGACAGAGA